TACCAAAATGAGTAACCAAAATAGGGTTGTCAATGTACATTAACAGATGTGTCAATATGTACTCTTCATGAAAGGGCAATATGAACACTCCTATAAAAATCCATTTGCCTAATTTATTTTAGTATATCTTTGAAAAGCTGTGATGTTGAAATATAACACAGATATAAAAATAGAATACATTTATGTAATCATGACAATGCATTCAGTCATAGGTCTGCTATAAAATTAAGCTGATGGAGTCTGATGTAAATTCTGACTATAAATGCCTTCTCCATTGTGTCTCCAGTCCTTATCATGGTACCACCTAAAACATATTAGGTACTCTGTAAGTATTTTTTGATTAATTAATGAGTCAATGAATTCTGCTATTCCCTGAGCCACGCCTTCCTAATTGTTCCCCACACAGATTTCATGTACTTGGACTCTGATTCGAACTTCTTTTTCCCACTGGCAATGGATATCTTTCTTGACCACTATCAATGGGGCCATCTATTGCTTAACAGCCTCCTCCTCTGGGGTTGCATTTTGTCTGCCATATAATGATAGATATTATTATGACTGAGTTGCCCTACTTGACTTTGCCTACTAGTCATACTCTATATCTGTGCCTCCTGTGCTCATCACAAGATTTGAATGCACTGGGTGTGACACATACAATTTAGGCTTTGAGAAAGGTATAGTACTGGGTTTCTACCTTATGACAAATGCCATAGTGAAGACAGTTCTTCCTGCTTCTATTTGTCCTCTCCTCAAGAGTGGTTATTAGTCCCTGAGCTTTTCTCAAGCCAGAGTTCTAAGAGCTATAAACAGCAAAAGGCAGAACAAGGACACTAGGTAAAAATTACAGGGACAAGAATTTTAATTTGTCAAAGGAAAAAAATTTCTAATGGGTTTATTAAATTATCAAAATATTCAAATACAGGCTGCATGGCTATCTGTTATCGAACAGTAAAATAAAGTCCTATATTCGTAGAAAGATTCATGTACATGATACACGTGGCAAATAGTTCTTTTCCTTCAATCCTCATTTGCAAAGATATGAAAAAAATTTCCCTCAAATTTTAAAGGATTCTGTTATCATGTGAAGGCCTTACAACCTTAAGGTAACACAAATCAATGGTTTAAGTTTAAAAGGTACTTTTTATGTGGTAAAAGTGTTCAGGTGAACTGCATCCTAGATAGTCAATTGTATTCAGTTTTGAACCTCAGTTCTGAGTCTAATAAGCAGTGCTACTTCTAGTAAGTTTATTCACCTCTTTGGTGATAAAATTTCATCTCTATATAAAGATAAAAAGCTTACATTGCTGTCTACACACACACACAAATTAAGTATATGCATTTGTGTGCTGTATATACAGTGCATATACTTTATTTATAGTATATATGTGATATATACATGTATACATATATATGTAATCCATTAGGTAATTTTTATATAAAGATATACTTTGCTTCTTTACAAAACCTGGCTTGCAGTACAGGTAGCTAGTAATAATGTGTAAGTTTTATTGCATTCATGTTAACATGTCTATTTGAAACTCTCCTTACTATCTCCTTACATTATTTCCTTTAATTGTCACAGTATTCCGTCGGGAGGGAGGAACCATATAGATTAGGAAACAAGTTTTATGACATTTAAAATAGTCTCTTTATTTATAGTAAGTGGCCCACTGTCTGCATTAGTATTCAGGCAGTCATGATACCAGATCTAGATCTTGAATGTCTAAGTCTTGCTGTCGAGCTTGTGTTATCCTCTATGGAATCACATCCCTACTTTCTTATCAGTGACAGCACCTTCAAGTTTCATCTCAATCTGCTGATGCTGTCAGTGATGATGTTTATTCTACCTTTCCTATTCCACATATACTTTGTTGTGTCAAAGTATGCAGTCCAGGGAGCTGAAAATTACAAATCATAATCAGAGCAACCCCATGTTTAGGCAACACATATCTAATCAAGACAACACTTTTTTCTAAAATCCCAGCATTTTTTATGGTGAGTTGTACAAAGTTAATTAATGTTTGTCATATGTCCTTCCACCCAAGGTGTACACTTTCTACTGTGTTTCAATAATGATGTAGGTAGAAAATATTTCTTCCAGCCTGGTTAAAGAATATGTTACTTTAAAGGGTTGAGGTTCTCTTCCTTTGTATCTTTATGCAGTCCTTGTAAGATACCCACAATATTGCTGAAAACCTTAGTATAAACTCAAGTTTCTGAGAACAAGCTTGTTTTAAACAATATTTAAGGGATTTCTCTAGGGAATTCTTTTATAGGGAAAATAGTTACCCAGCTAATTTTATATTGGACAGACCCTGACTTTCACCCCCTGATTTGATTTCTCTATATCTGCAGTCATCTACAAGAGGCTGTGCTAAGTCACCTCCACAATGTGATTGCCATATATAGACATTAGAGATTTAAAAACTAAAGCAGTGAGTACCAAATTTGTATTATGAATTTCTGAATCCCCCAGCTCTGTTAACTAACACTCATCTTTCACTTTTGAATGTAACAGATGTAATAGAGATAGATTTTTTGAGCCTTTGTATCCCGGACACTGAAAATGAACTGCCATTCAATGTAAGAACAATGGACAGATTCTGGAAGAACACAGACTCACCGTTTCAATCAGCAGGCTGCAAGCCCACTTTTCTCTCAATGAGTTGATGCTTCCTGTGTCTCAGTGTTCTCACTGGGAAAATGACAATAAAAATGCCTGCCTTTCATACTTCATAGGTTTTATCAGGATCAAATGAGTAATGATATGTGAAGGTATTTTGTAAGGCACAAAATGCTTCATTAATATAAGCTCCCACAGTAATTCTAACTAAATGTATGGTGCCTCCAAAACTTCATCCAGGAAAGGTTGCATGATGAATTCTATTCTTTGAAGTTCTGCCATCTCCTCTTGGAAGCACCCACAGCAAACATGAGTGATTATGAGAACTGTTAGTAGTATGATATTCGTAATAGAAATGATAGCATTTGCAATGTACTCAATAAAGATTTAGACTTTGGGGAACTTAGAACAAATCAGAACCTGGATCCCAATGGGAGCCTGCCTGAGCAATGGCTGCTGTCTGCTTCTCCCTTCTCTTTTATCCCCGTCTTTTCCTCCATGTATTTCTAGGTATTTTTGTTCCTCATGATCTTGACTGACATTCTACCTAAGTATACTGGCTTTGAGTAGTGTCTGGCTTTGTAATTTTATTAAACTGTCCAGCCTTCAAAATATCCTATACTATATTCTGAAAAGAAACTAAGTAACTTGTTTAATAACCTGATAAATGTCAAATATTTAACAAGTTTCTGTCACTTTGCTGAATTGAATAAAGTATCATGGGAGACCTTGACTTTGATGTCATCATATCCCATGACATTCTATATGGTTAGAACCCTCACAACTGTTCCCCAGAGATGAGAAATGGAAAGATCACAATATTAGCTAGCAGACCTTTGTATGATTTAAAATCTAGGTTGAAAATTGATTAGTCGTCAACATTTAAAAATATGAAGATATGAAGTTCCAGATTTCTGACTTCTCTTGAAATGTCAGGACACATAGCAACACTATCTCTTCCCTAGCCATGATAGCAGCTGCTTAGGAGCTGTTGGTGCCTTCAGAAGGACAAGCTGTGTTCAGTGTATCAAGGTCCTCACCTGTTCTGGGTCATTTATTTATGTCATCTGTCTGGCCCCTGTAGGAATCTGATTTTGTGACCCTTGTTGAAACCACAGAACTAACCTCATTAAATTTTATCTTATGACCAGTTAGTCATGGGCAAAATCACAGACAGATGGTTTAAAGAGAACATATGCTGTTGATCTGTTTCTCTTATTTCATTACCCATTTTGCCAGCATTTTAAACAGTCTAATTATATATCACAAGCCACAGCTAGAGCATCAGTTTCATAAGGAGGTAATCCAGAGTTTCATTGAACTGTTTATTGTTAAGTGCCAAATGAAAGTTTCTTTGAGGTTGATTTGCAGTTCAAGGTAAAAGTTTTCCAACTCATTAAGTGTAGATTGTATACATATTCTAGACTCCATACCCAACATGTTCCTGTGATTCCAGCAGCAGAAAAAGCATCTCTAGTATGGTGTTTCTACAACATAAGTGTACAGAAAGTGAATGGTGTCCTATGAGATGTCACCATGAGTGACATCTTAGAAGCAAGAAGAGGTGGCCTGGAGACTCGGTGATGGCAACACCTTGAAGTGTCTAGAGTTTTCTGAAGGCTTCACATTCTCCATTCTGAAGGGGAGTAAAGTCTACATGAATAAGTCTATGACAATAAAAAATGGAGTGAGCCATGTTAATAGAAGGGGGCGATGTAGTAGGAGTACTATAAAATATATTGTATGGAAACAAACCCTCTCTTATTTCACTTTGATCTCTAGAGGTCCCTTTCCCTTAAATCAGAGGGTTAATGTTAAGGAACCAGTGATGAAGGTGTGGACCTAAAGAAAGGGGCTGATGGTACCTGCTCAGTATACTTTACTGCAGCCTATAGAGCAGAAAGAAGCAGGAGGCAGTGTCCATTCTCTACATGGTCTAGCTCAGATCATAAGCTAGAAGCTCCTCATGGAGAGGTGCAGGATTAAAGTATTTGTCTTCAAACAAGGGATCTTTCAAGTATGATCACTGCCATCATGGGAGACTGGTCAAACAATTGAATTCAAAGATGACTAATATCTTGACATTACTCACAGAATATCTTTTATATTTGGCTTTGAGCAAAGGCTAGTTAGCATAAGCATCATCAACCAATCTCATCACCACCAATCAATTATACAATTACCTACAGTGAATACAGGGCTTTAGGAGGGTTGACAGAGCAAATGACAAAAGAACATTTCATATGAGACATAGATAAATATCTCTTGTGCAACTAGTAATTCAAACTCTCTCTCTAGACCCATGTCACTTGGTGAGCTAAGTGATCAATGATCTATCAAGTATAAAAATAGCAAAATTCTTCACAGACGAACGTAGTGATGGAGATTTCAAAGTTCAACTTGCTATTTCCTATTTGTCTTGGGTCAGAGTAAATTGTGTGTAACTAGGAAGATAGGGGTAGATAAAAATAACTGCAGTGATAGTCACAGGGAAAAAACAAATGTGTAGCATGAGGGAAATTACTTTTTCTTTTTGACAAACTCACAGACAAAGTACATGGTAAGATGACACTCTGTATCATTCCATCTGCCCGAGCTCAGCATCTCCACACAGTCTTCATGACCATAGGGGTCGCTGGGCTCACCCTCCTTCCAGTTGCTATAGTTCTGCAGTGGAGTATTGTCTGTGAACACATACTGCCCCTCCTTCTCGAGGTCATTCACCCCAATGAAAACCCGGAAGAAGCCATTCTTCGCAATGTAGTCAGCAATGAGTGTATTGGCAGCTTCATCCTTGGGCATGGCTAGCATTCCACCCCGGATCCTGCAGTGGGTCAGGGATTCCCTATAGTTCTTCTCCTCCTGCACAATGTAGTAGAATTTCTCTTCAGTTTCTCTAATTCCTGCTATAACTATGGGGAAGAAAAGAAAAGTATCTTTATGTAACTCAAAAAGAGAAGAAGCAAATAATATATAATATTGCCAGATGTAAATTAATTTATTCACAATTCAAGAATTTTTTTCCAAAATCCTGTTATGAAATAGTCACTGGTTTAATTTCTTTTCTGCATCTCTAATTATCAAGTGGAGAACAAAGGTCTACCAGTTGTCTGCCCTTCCTTACCTTCTCAACTTCCTACACAGCTGTCTAGTAGGGAGCTATGTTGACAAAGATTTGTCACATGAACTGCCACCTAGATTATCTCATACTATTTTTCCTAACCTAGTTTATGTTTTATCTGTACTTGTCCCTTATTTCTCTCTTCTATTTCCATGCCTGGAAAGTCTTCTTACTGCTTCTCTACCTGGCAAATACCTACTCATCTTTTTGATCTCAGTGAAAATGAGTTCTACTATAAGATGTTTTTCCAATGTCCCTGGACAGATGTGGGGGGTTCATGTGTTCTTCCCTATGTTTCCAATGTCTCTTTAACTTCATCTTTTGTAGCACTCAGCACATTCCATGCTAATTGTCTGCCTGTGTGTCTCCTCTACTCAACTGTGACTGTCTTAAAACAATACCCATGTCTCTGACACTCTTTAACCTCAGTGCCTAGACATTCCAGGGACTGGCAAATGCTTATTGAACTGATAGAAGAGTAATACATAAGTTTACTCACTTTGGGCCAAATTCCTGTGCTATGAAGATGTACATTAATTTAGATTATCTATACTTCAACCCAGGTTTAAGAGGAAGACTGAGCTACTGAGTGAGCTTCAGGACAGAAATAGGGACTCAGTATCATCCTAAGTTTATAAGATGGCAGGTAAACTTTGGACTTTAGGGGCATCAGCATACATATTTTGGGGTCTACAACTTAAATTCACAAAGAAATCTGTGACCATTAAAACATGACAAGCTATTGTTCTACATTGTACCTTAAAGGTATGGTTAATTCATGGCAGTCAAAGTCACATCAGACACAGAATCTTCATTATGGTTTATAACCAATTTGTAATTAATGTGATTAGTTAATGTCAAATATTCCCTGTGCCTCTAACACTCCAAGGTGGCTATGAACACATGGCGTATGTATGCTTCCAATAACACACAGAGTACATAGGAGGATTACACTAAATGAAAATACAACAAAATGAAGTCAGTTGTGATAGTAACTACAACAGGTCCCTCAGTAACACTGTCTCAGAAGAGGACACATAGGACCTTTCCACTTTATTGCTAACTGTTATGGGGAAATGGACAAGGGTTAACAAAAATGACTAAGTTGCAAGACTTAGAGGAACTGCTCCTCTGCTGCTCATTTGATCTGTATACACAGGTAAGGTGCTTTGTCTAAGCTTCAGTTCAAGCATAGTACATCATAACACCCATTATACAGACTCCACGAGATAATGCTAGTAGTTATGTACTATCTCAAATATGCAAGGAAGTCATTGTTCTCACTTCTGTTTTCTGAGATGCTATTTGCTATTTCTAGATGACTCTTGCTAGCCCCATACCCCCAGTTTTTTTTGGTGGTACTGGGGTTTGAACTCCAGGATTTGTACTTGGTAGGCAGGCACTCCACCACTTGAGTGATGCCTCCAGTTCTTTGTGTTCTGGTTACTTTGGAGATTGGGTCTCCTTTTTTTTTCCAGGCTGGTCTGGACTGTGATCTTCCTATTTTACACATCTTGCCATAGCTGGGATGACAGGTGCATGCCATCATACTCATCTTTTCTCCATTGAGATGGGGTCTTGCAAACATTTTTTGCCAAGATTGGCCTGGAATCTAGATCCTCTCAATCTCAGCCTCCTGTGTAGCTGGTGTGTACCCCTGGGTCCAGCTATTGATTAAGATGGGGTCTCACAAACTCTTTGTCTGGGCTGGCTTTGAACCATGATCTTCGTGCTTTCAGTCACCCAAGTAATTAGGATTGCAGATGTGACCTACCACTGGTGCCCATTTTGGTTCTTCTTTTTTGGCAGTACTAGGGCTTGAACTCTGGGCTTTGTACTTGCTAGGAGGCACTCTACCACTTGAGCCTTGTCTCTAGCCCTTTGCTATCCCTTTTTATTCTTAGGACATATCTTGCCAAGTTGTTCTTTTCTCCACTCCCCTCTCATAGGGAAATAACTTTTTCTACTAATAGGTAACACAATCTGCATGAATCTATGTACTGGACTTGAACATCCTGGGGTCTGAGTGAGTAATTAACATTTTAAGACGCCTTTAAAGTGGTGATGCTATTTCAATAGAACTTTGCCCAAACCAAGGTATTTCCAGTTAGAAAATGTAATGTTGAAAGACTAAATTGCTGGATACATAGTACAGGCAAAAGCAAATATGTTTACCATTCTTGACAAACTTCATAGATGTCTTGAGCCGAGCAACACTAATATCCAGTTGTCCAACAACTTTCCGGTACCTTCCACAATCACAGACTGTACCTTGTAAATGACAAAAACTTCATGTGGAAGTACATGCAGACCAACTAAAAAAAGCATTTTCTCTCTTCCTGTAGCTACTCTTTTTTTCTCATCTGGTTGAATCTCTTTGTGAATGGCTATACATTTAACTTTTTATTTAAAAGGACATTTCAAATTTATATTAGAAATTCAGAAAATGTCTCTTTAAACACCATAATGAGAAAAAAAATTCCAAACTAGATATTTTAAAAGAAGAATAAATATGACAAACCACTGCACACACATTGTAGACCATTTGGCATTTTTTGCTGAATACAGAACTTGTCTGCTGAATCTCAGAATAAATATTTTTTATAGCTTTCTTAAAACATTTTTGCAGCCAGGCCCCTCTTCTGTTACTGCATTATTCACTGGCTCACATAGCTCTCCCAAGATAGAAGAAACTTTTCAAGATTCAGTCAAACATTAATTCTGATTACCCATATGAAATGTAGTTTGCATGTTTCAAGGACTAAGTTTAAATCCTGTAAATAGATCCAGCTTACAATTGTAAGAGCCAGCTGTCCAGTTTGTGGGTTGATGATGATTTTAATTTATTACTCATTCCCCTCTGCTCATATATTTTTTTCAACCGCCTAGTGTTATTATTGTGAGAGAGAAGCAATGTTAAGTAAAGTGAGGTAAAATTCAAATGATTCTCTTTTTTCCATTTCATGGCTGCTTCATGTAAATATTTCCATCTGCTTTTTCCCCTGGTAGTGTGAAAAGTAAAAATAATTGTGTTACCCAAAGGAAAAAATATGCCTTAATTTATCCGTGTTCATAGATACAGGAATTACCAGGAATGTAAAACAGTTGTTTGAATTAGTCTTCACTAGACCACTGTGAACAAAAACAAGTGAAATTCTTCCAATCCACCTTCCTCCCTACATGAAACACTGGAAATAAAAATATTTGAATAATCAGAGGATACTCTCTGGTCATGGAGAACAGGTTCTTTAATCAGGGGTTCTTTTTGGGTCAGGCCAGCTTGCAGGTGGCCAGCCACAGACCAGCATTTGGTTGAGTAGCCAGGGAATATAAGGCATGACCTGCTGAGTACGCTCTGGTGCAGACTTCTCTTTTGGCCCTGGAAAATAAGGGCTGCTTCCTGATCCGCTGTGTTTGCTTCATACACTGAGCAGGTCAGGGAGGGTTTGTGCCCTTATCTCCTTCCCCAGGGCTTGGAAAGCCATCAGTGGATAGAAATGAAAATTCCCTTATTCCCTTTCCTATAGCCAGAGTAAATAAGGTAGAGCACACAAAGAGGAATTTTGGCTTTCTTTAAAAATATGATTTTTAAATTTTTTTAAATGAACATATTTGGAACTGTGCCAGAAATCAAAGAATAAATGGAACATATCATACCTGCCTTGCCCTTTCCTCCAGGTATCCCAAGCAAACCTTTTTCCCCTTTATCACCTGAAAAAAACAAAAAGCAGCAACAAAAAAAGCACAATAAAATAAAAAAATGATTTACTTTAAGCAGACAATATCTTAAAATCAGAGGAACAAGTTTTTTGAATTTCATTTGTAGTATCTCCAACTAATATTCCTTGACTTTTTGTCATTTTCCTTTGAATTAATTACACATGCACAATTAATCAAATGAATCATAATTTATTTAGATGCAATGTCGAATAATAGCAGAAGGTATAAGGAATATTTGAATTTGTAGTACCTACCCCACTTATAATGTTGTCTTCTCAGCAAGACAAATACAATTCTTAGCATGCCTTTAATTTTAAAAACACCATTAGTTTGTAAATATGAATCAATTGGTTAGCAAATTGCAGTGACCTATATATTTATTATGTGCAAAGTTATTCTATGTGCTTTTGCCCTTGGATTTAAAAAAACCAGATTTTGCTTTTTCAATTTAATTCAACAAATATTTACGATTTACTTTGTAAAAGACAATAGGCTAGGTATTTGGAGAGGATATACAGAGAGACAAGATTAAACCTCTGACTTGAGGGCATTTACAGTTTTTAGGGGAGATGAGATGTATGAACTGAAAGATACATCAAATATATTATATTATACTGCAATGTCAACCTTGTAATTTTCCTTTCTGATCTTCTTTCTATGTGACTGTTGTTTTTACTCAGTCAGAGGCATCCAAAAAGTAATTCTCAAAGAATCAGGATTTTTGAAAGAAAGAAAAAAATGTTGCTTTGTTTTTCTTACTTCAAAATAAGCTCTTGAAACCTACATCAGACAAAATAATTGGAAGAAAAAACTTTTGATTTACAAGAGAAAATGTTTGGGTAAGGTTCTTGAGGATCAAAAGAGAAGACCCTGAGAAAAGTAAATAGAGTTTTACACTTCAGTGGTGATCTGGAAGAAGAATAAGAAATAACTCGTGAAGAGTAAACAGGGTGAAGGTCACCCAGACTAGATGGAGTGTGTGCCTTGCTCTTATAGGAGTTTGATGCAGCCAGGTAATTGGGTATACGACCCAAGATGACAATATGAAGGGGAGAGGAGTCAGTATTAAGGCTCTGCCTAACTTCACCCCTCACTAGCAATAGGGAAAAAGTAAAAACCCACTCTAAAACCTGTAGGGCTCACTATATCTTTACACTGAGGATGCCCATGAGATGTTCTCATCACTGTCCGATGAGTGCTTTCATTAAGAGTCCCTTACATGTTGAAGTAAGTATGCCTGCTGGGGCCCCAAAGATTTCCAGAGCTTTTCTAAACTGACCCACATGGATGCATTTCTTTACAGTGAAGTGAGACATTTAAGTGTTTCTCAACAGAAGGAAGGGGGTCCATGAAATCCAGAATGCAGTTTCAGTGCGTAAGGGAAAGTCTCAGAACTTGTTCTTGGATTAGACAAGACAGTGGTGAAGTCTATGACAATGCTGTGATATCAGGGTTATAATACATATATACATGGAAATGTCACAAGGAAACTCTCTGTGTAGCTATCTTAAACAAAAACAATGTAATTTTTTTTCTTTTACATGTTGGAGAACAGGAGGGCCAAACAGGTCCTGCCTGGGGGGTAGTTGGTACCAGTGAGAGGGGATAGGAGGTAGGGAAATGGTGTGGGAGGGTGAATATAGTGCAAATACTGTATACATATGTATTCAAGTGGAAAAATGATACCTGTTGAAACTATTCTTGGAATGGAGAGAGGGGGAAATAAAGGAGAATGATGGAGGGGGTGAATTCAAGTATGATATATTTGACATATTGTAAGAACTTTTGTAAATGCCACAATGTACCCCCATGCAGCACAACAATAAAAAAAGAGGATGTGATAAATGCTGTGAAAACATTGAATAAAGGTAACACCCTCTGAGAGGGAGGCAGAAGAAATAGTGCTTCCACTGGAATGCTTAGCATTTGAACTTGACAATCGGAAGTTTCAGCAGTAGATGATAGGAGTGAGGGGATAGACATTTTACAGCAGGGGATATAGCTAAGAAAAGAGCCTGAAAATATGTCAAACAGCTTTCTGAGGAAGATTGATCTGTTCATATCTTATTTGCTTCCTGCAAATTCTTATTTCTTTATATGAAATAAGAATTTAATGGAAGAAAGGGAACATATATTTAGTAAATGCAAATCAGTTGCCAAGTACCATTCTTAATACTTTGCATATATTATCATATTAAAGCCTATGCGTTAGGTACTGTGATTATCTTCATCCTACAATTGAAGGAACTGAGGGTTAGAAAGGCAAATATCTTGCTGAAGTACATCCTACAGTTAGACTGTGGTGCTGTTATTCAGACTCAACCGTTCTGACTCCCAAGTTCATGGTGCTTTCTGAATGAGTTGATGAATGATTTGATGAAGGAAAGTGTTTGAAAGAAGTTATTAAAGTGAAATAAGCCAGGACAGAAAGACAAAGGCCACATGATCTCTTTAATACATAGAATCTAAAAAGGCAGCCTCATAGAAACATAAAATGGAATAATGATTACTAGAGGATGGAGCAAGTAGAAGCAACAAGTTGGGAGAGGTTGGTCAGTGGGTACAATCTTACAGCTGGGAAGAATAAGTTCTGGTGTTCTATGAGCACAGCAGAGTAATTAAAGTCAATAATCATTTATTGTCTACTTTAAAATACTGAGAAGATTTTGAATGTTTCATCATAAAGAAACATTAAATATATGAGATGATGGATTTGCTGACCACTCTAATTTGATTATTACATAATGTATATGGGTATCAAAATCTTACATTGTACCCCATAAGTTCATATAATTATTATGTGTCAATTAAAAATAAAATAAACAAGAAAAAATTTGAAAGAAATAGCAGTCCTTATCATCAGCAAAAACAATATGTTTAGATGATCATGAATATGGACTTAAAATTTTAAATTTTTATAACTTGTATTTTCTTTACATGTGAATCCCTTTTAATTCAAGTGGATTGAATATTAATTTTAGTTCTGTTATGATCCTCATTCTGCATAAGTTCCAAAAGAGGCATAAGTGAAATATAAATTGATAACTGTAGCCATCTTACCTGAGGTTTTCCTTTTCATGGTTTCAGCTACCTGTAGTCAACTGAGGTCCAGAAATGTTAAATGGAAAATTCCAGAAATAAACAATTCATAAGTTTTGCATTGCATACCATTCTGGGTAGCATAATGAAATCTCTGCTCCACCCCACCTGGAATGTGAATCATCCATTTGTCCAGTCCATCCAACATGTATATGCTTCCCAACTATTAGTCACTTAGCCATCTCAGTTATCAAATGGAGTGTCATGTGCTTTTTTCAAGTAATCATAATGTAGAAGTCTTATCTTATGTCATTCACTTTACATCGTCATAAGAAATCCTTCTTATGTACAGAATGCAGTACAATAATATATATAAATTGGTCTGCATGAGATTTTATTTTTACCTCAGGTCCTGTCTATGTCAAAACTTGCTAATTATTTTCATAATTTAAAATAATTTGCCAATTATTTTATTTCCCACAACAATTTTACATAAGTCCAAATAATGCCTCTTCCTTTTTAATATCTCTATTCAGCCATTCTACTTTGATGGATTGACTTCAATTTTTTAGTGATTTTTACATTTACTCACATGTGTACACATTGTTTGGGCCACCTCCCCCCATCCTCCCTTCCAGGCAGTAACTGTTCTGCCCTCTTGTTCTCCAGTTTTGTTAAAGAGGAAACATAAGAGATAATAAGAAAGACATAGCGTTTTTCCTAGTTTGAGATAAAGATAGCTATACAGAGAGATTCCTAGTGTTGCTTCCATACACATGAGTAGCTCGAGTGGTAGAGTGCCTACTTTGCAAGCATGAATCCCTGAGTTCAAACCAAAAAAGTAAAGGAAAAGAAAAAAAAAGAATTTACAATAAGATGTTTTGAGAGAGAGAGAGAGAGAGAGAAAGAGAGAAAGGCAAAGAGAAAGAATGCTTTTATTATAATACATTGCTATAATTGTTCTTTTTTGTTATTGCTAATCTCTTATTTTGCTTAATTTTTTTCTTATTCATTTATTCATATATGCATACATTGTTTGGGCCATATAAAATTTTACCATAGGTATGTATGTATAGAAAAGAAAACATAGTAAATGTAGAGTTTGGGACTATCTGCAGTTTCTGACACAGCAGAGAATCTTAAAATGTTGCCCCCATAAAGTTTACCGTATTTGCTTTGAAAGAATGATGGGCTACTAAGGACATAAAACTAAACATAACAGAACAGGGAGATTTGCACTATCACGTACTAACAGAGTGAAATAAACCAAAAACCTGGTAGGTGGGCAGAAAAGCAAACGATACTGGTGGATTACAGTAGAGACAATGACATTAAATTAGGCAGTAGTCTTCAGTTTGATCTTAGAAATGAGGGAAACAGCTTTTTTAATTGGTACAGGGCATTTTTTCCTCAGAAGATGTAATTACTGTGAGTGCTTTCCAGTATTTAACATAAATTGCTTTCTTTTTGTGAGAAATTAGAACACCAAAGCAATGTAGTGGAGTGAAAGATCACAGAAACCCCAAAATACAGGACTGGAATCCTGACTGTGCTACTTAACAGCTAAATGTGGGCAGGTTACTTAATTTCCTTAAGTCTCCATTTCTTAGTCTTTTAAATGGAAAGAATAGCACCTAAAATGATAAGATGATTAAAAGAGTAAGTTCAGTAATGGGATCTTATCATGGAGCAGCACTGGGCTTTGGTCAGAGAATGCCAAGTTAGTGTTAAGTCCTGTTCCATTACTCTGAGCTGTGGTAAAGGAGTGTATGCTGTGTCCTTAGCTGCATCACAGAGGATTTGGGCTTAGCATATCTATTTCTCCAAAACTAATTATGCTTTGAAGTCATCCACAAAAACTTGTTTTGGCTCATGAATGGGAATATGTTTGAAGAATTAGAGATCACATTCAAACAAACAGAAAAAACAATGCTTCCAGTGTAAAAGGATTA